TTGATTATTCCGGTTCCTTTGCCTTTCTACATCAATTTAAAAATCAGTTTATTGATGTCTACAAAAAAGTCTTGCTGAGATTTCATTGGAATTGCATTAAATCTGTAGATCTAGTTTGGGGAGAATTAATATCTGTGAGCATGGCATGTCCCTCTGTTTACAGTTGTCCCCTCATCTGCGGGGCACACGTTCCAAGACCCCCATTGGAAGCCTGAAGCCACAGACAGTACAGAGCCCTCTGTATACTATGTTGCTCCCTTTATACACATACCTGTGATAAGGTTTAATTTATAGATTAGGCACAGTAAGAGATTAATAACAATAATAGTAAAATAGAACAACCATAACAATGCTGTAATAAAAGTTACCATATATCTCAGCAGCTCAGCATAGATTTTTTTCTTTCCTTATTAGGTCAAGAACTTCCACCTTGTCACATAAAGGAAGTACTTTATGGCTTCTCTTTGCCACGCTCGTACCACCAGCATCACTGCTCTCACCCTTTAAGGTCCTTCTTAGGTAAAATAAGGGCTCCTTGAACTCAAGCCCTGTGGTGCTTCCACAGCTGGTCCGACGACCCGGACAGCTACTGCGTGACTCACGGGCAGGGAGTGTGCACAGCGTGGACACACTCCACAAAGGGTGATTCGCGTCCCGAGCAGGACGGAGCGGGATGGTGGGAGATTTTGTCACACTACTTGGAACGGCAGGCAATTTAAAATGCATGAATTGCTTGTTTTGGGAATTTTCCGTTTGATATTTTCAGAGTACGGTTGACCGTGGGTAACTGAAATAGAGGAGAGTGGAACCGTGGATGGCGGCTGCCGCGTGTGGGTCTTTAGTCCTTGTTCCAGCAGTTGGGAGTTTTCAGTGTGCAGATCCTGCATTTGTTTTGTTAGATTTCTTTCTTTCTTGTTTTGGAGCTATTATAAATGGAAGTTTTTAAAAATGACTTCCACTTGTCCATTGCTTTTATATGTTGAACCTGTGCCGTGTGGCCTTGCTAAGTTCATCAGTTTTGGGAGCTTGTTTTCACATTTCTGCAGTCCTTGGGATTTTCTTTTCTTTTTTTTTTAAAAGATTTTATTTTTTCCTTTTTCTCCCCAAAGCCCCCCGGTACATAGTTGCGTATTCTTCGTTGTGGGTTCCTCTAGTTGTGGCATGTGGGACGCTGCCTCAGCGTGGTCTGACGAGCAGTGCCATGTCCGCGCCCAGGATTCGAACCGACGAAACACTGGGCCGCCTGCAGGGGAGCGCGCGAACTTAACCACTCGGCCATGGGGCCAGCCCCGTCCTTGGGATTTTCTATATGAGTGATCATGTCTGCAGATAAGAGCTTTATTTTTCCTTTCCAGTCCTTCTGCCCTTTATTTCCTTTTCTTGCTTTATTGTCCTGGCAGGCCTTGAGTGCTGTGCTGACTGGCAGCGGTGAGCGGGCGCAGCTTTGCCTCCTTCTTGATCTCGGGGGACAGTGTGCTGTCCCTCACACCCAGCGTCATGGGAGCTGGGGGCCTTTTGGACATGCTCCATCGGGTTCAGGAAGTTCCCTTCTATTCCTAGTTCACCCAGAGTTTTTAATCACGAATGGATATTGAATTTTGTCAAAAGTCTTTTTGGGTCAGTTGAGATTTTGTGGGTTTTCTTATTTAGCCTGTTGATGTGGTGAATTACGTTGATTTCAAACGTTGGACCCGCTTTGCCTTCCTGGAGCGAACCCCGCTTGGTCGTGGTGTGATGTTCATGAATATTCCTTTCATGTGTGGCTGAATTCAGTTTGCTGATATTTTGTTGAAGATTTTTACGTTTATGTTCATAAGGGATGTTGGTCTGTGGATTTCTTTTTCGTACTGCTTTTGTCTGGTATCGGTATCAGAGTAATGGATAAGCTCTGACAAGTATTGCTTCCTCTTCAGTTTTCTGGAAGATATCATGTAGACTCGTGTCATGTCTTCCCTTAATATCTGGTTAAATTCACCTGGAGTTTTCTGTCTCAGAAAGTCTTTATTAGTTCAGTTTCTTGAGTGGATTGGGTTGTTCACGTGACTGTCCATCCTGGTGAGTCTTGGCAGCTGTGGCTGTCACAGGGCTGGTGCGTTTTATCTGAGTGCTGGATTTACGTGCCCGCAGCTGTTGGTCGTGCCCCTGATCCTGCTTGTTCGGGTCTGTAAGGTCTGTAGTGGTACTCCTCGTTTTCCTGCTACTGCTCATTTTTGTCTCCTCTTTTTTTTTTCTTTGCGTGGCTAGAGGTTCTATCAATTTTATTGATGTTCCCAAAGAACCAACTTTTGGTTTTATTTTCTCTATTTTCAGCTTCATTGCTTTTGCTTTTATCCTCATTATTTTCTTCCTTCTGCTCACGTTGGGTTTATTTGCTCTTCTTTTCCTAGGGTCTTAAGGTGACTGACGCTTACCTTGTGTGGTTGAGACCTTTCTTCTTTCTGACGTAAGCATCAAATGCTGAAATTCTCTTCTCAGCACTAATTTTGCTGCATCCCACACGTCTTGATTTATTGTATTTCACTTTTGTTCCGCAAGAAGTCTCTCTGATTTCCTTCAAGACCCCTCTCTGGCCCGTAGGTTGTCTGGGCGTGTGCATTTAGTTTCCCGAGTGCTTGCTGTTCTCCTGCTCTCTCTGTCGTTGACTTCTAGTTAACTCCATCCTGGTCAGAGAACATGCTTCATACTTTTTGGTTCTTTTAAATGTGTTAAGTGCTTTCTACCCGGGATACAGTCTCTCCTCGTGAGTGGGAACCCCTTTGATCCGGCTTCTTCTCTCCTCCCTTGCAGTTCTTTTGCCCCTGGGCGGAGCCCTGCAGAATCTGCATGGCCCCAGGGCTGGAGTGGGCTGGGCTGGGAGCTGAGGGGTGGCCCAGCCAGGTGAGGTGTCGGGGACTGTCAGGGGCACATTCCATTTGCCTCCAACCTGGGGCTGTCCCTGCTGGCACGTCAGGGCGCATGGCTGCCTGGGGAAGCCCTGAGTCTGGCTCTTGGCCCCTGGGCCCAGTGTAGTGCAGGTGGTGTCACCATCGTCCCCCAGGCGGCCCCTGAGGGCCTAACAGGCTGAGGTGAAGGTTGGGTGGTTTGTGCGGGTCTTAGTCTATAAAGGTGACTGAATGATGACACGGGGAGGTCAGCGCCATGAAAGAAAAGTTCGTGTTGTTCTCAGTCCCCTGGAAACAACAGGCTCAGCACACCATGCAGGGCCACGGGGGAGCACCAGGTTGGCAGGAGGCAGAGGGAGCGAGGGGAGGCCCGGCCAGAGCCTTTATTGGGGTTTCCTCAGGAAAGGCATGGCATGGCAGGGTGAATGGCTTAGGATTGCCAGTCTGAATAGTCCTGGTGGACCTTGGGGCCCAGGGAATGTCCTAGTTGTCTGCCAGCTGGCCCTGGGTGTTTGGGCAAGGGTATTGGCTTGGTGTTGAGGGTTGGGTCAGGAGGGGGTTCAGGGTACAGGCCTGCATCCAGAGGAGATGGAAACAACTTTGGCCCGTAACTAATGGAAGCAAACTGTAGAATCTGAGAAAACAAGGAGCCGTGGGGTCTTCATTTCATGCCCGGAACAGCGGTGGGACCTCTGTTCCATGCGTGGTTGACAGGTGCTCTGGGAGACTTTCCCAAGCCGCGCAGTCGACTCTGCCCTTGCGTGTGTGCAGCCTGAGCACACCTGCCTCAGCCGCGCCCCCGCTGCCTGGCTCTGGCCATGTGTGTGTCCAGTGGGAGGGCCCGGCCTTCTTCCTGGCCCACTGTGTCCCCACGCTCCGCTCAAAGGCACAGAGACAGAAGAGCGGAGAGTCACTTTGATGCTGGCAGGTGGGCTATGCTCCATGGCCTAGCCATGTCTGGCATTTGTCCTGCTGCCTCAGGTTCAGATGCATACTTTGGGGACCAAGTGACAACTCAGGTGGGCATGGAAAGTCTGGATTTCCCAAATGGGACTCCTAACACAGATGTTGGGGACTTGGTCTGGGCACGTGACCTGTCCAGGCAGCAGGGACATTTTAGCCTGGATGGTCACGTGCTTACCCTCATGTAGCCGTGTCGCTGCCCGTGTGAACAAGCAGACTGGCATCTGAGTGGGAAAATGGCCAGGGCCTCAGGGAGCCGTGGAGAGGTGTCCAGTCTATGGAAGCTTTCCTGTGGGTCCTGGGGCTACAGTCCCACACAAGCGCACACCATCGGCTCCTCGGTCCTGGGCGCCTTCGTGTTGTTGTTCTGGAACCCACCCCGTGTGGATGCTGCCTCCCAGAAGGTGAGCATTCGTACGGCAACAGCAATCGTGCATGCTGGGTCTGCAGTGTAAACACTGCAGCCAAAGCAGAGTAGAAGGTTCAGGTCCCACCCACTCTGTTCGCCAGGGACAGTGGTGGACACAGTGCAGGCTGTCCTCCAGGCCTTCCTAGGCAGGGCTGGCACACATCACCACAACTTTGTATGCAGAACAGAATGATGGAGGTGAAGTTGGCAGTGTGAAGGTTCAAGAAGGCCGGGGGTGAGGGGCCCGGGGGCCATGTAGGCAGGGCCTGCAAGGTGGGCGAGGCGTGCCGGGCCCCGGAAGACCTGTGCTCTCACAGCTGGGAGCAGGTTCCCAGCTGGCTGGCACCCTGGTCCCTGGGGGTTTCTGTGGTCTGCGGTCTCAGATTTCCTGTCTGCCCTTATCCTGCCTGTCCACAATCCCACACTGACACCTGCACGGGAGGCAGACCCGCCTCGGAGACCCTCTGGAGAGGGGCGCTTCGCCGGACAGCCTGGGGGTGCTGAGGCGCCCGCTGTGTGCAGGGACCCCAAGGGTGGCTCCCAGCCTGGCCGGGCCTGGGCAAGGGCTCCTGGGAGATGTGATGGCCAGTCTCTAGGAGTGACCGTGGTGCTGGAGGCCAGGGGCTGAGGGCATGTGGTCCAGTGCAGCCTGGCTGAGGCCGGGGCTGCTGTGGGGTGGGGACGTTTTGGTGTGAGGAGGTGTGGAGGGTGTAATCACTGCTGAGCCAGCTCTGTGCCCTTCGCAGGTTGTGCAGCCTGACCTTGAAGAAGCTGGTGGTCTTCAAGGAGCTGGAGAAGGAGCTCATCTCCGTGGTGATAGCCGTCAAGATGCAGGTAAGGGTTCTCTCTCTGCACTGTCCTGGGACCGCGTCGGATGCCTGTACTGTCCAGGAGACGAGAGTGGGCAACACCCACCACAGCTGGCCCCTTACCTGTGCAGGTGGCCGGGAGCCCGATTCTGTCTTGGAGCCAGGGGGCCTCTGCCCAGGCAGTTGGCCTGGAAGATGGTCCTGATGCTCTGGCAGGGTTAGAACCCTCGGGGGCACAGTCCTGTCCCCATGAAGGACCAGCAGCCCAGCGTTCAAGAACATGGAGGAGAGCGAGAGTGCTGAGCTCGCTGCCCATGGGCCTTCCCAGAGCAGAGGCACGGGCGGAATGCCTGTGCTGGGTCATGCTTGCCCCTCCCTGGCCAGCCCCCGACCCAGGCCCGGCCCAGCCGTGCCCACCTCTCTCCCCCACACCATGGTAGTCCGCGGCCCTCAGGTGGCACAGGTTCCTCTGTTTGGTCTGATTTCTGCCTTTCAACAATAACGGTGTTTCAGGAGGGCCCCTCGCCCTGCCCGTTCCTCGGGGGAGAGTAGCCCCTGGCCCTCAGTGCTGCCTTCACCCGGCAGCAGTGGAGGGGCCCAGCCAGCCGTGGGGCCACCCGCATAGTGCCTCCTGCAGCCCTTCACAGCTGTCCCCTGGCAGGTGTGGGCCCATGTGCAGGGTCCGCCTCTGCAGGCCCTCCCTCCCCCAGAGCAGGCAGCCATGTGTACCGGTTCCTCGAAGTGTGGGAATGTCCGTGGTGTGGCCCTGCAACTGAGCCACCGTAGATGCAGGTGCCTGGCCTGTTAGGACCCCTAAACCATCAGACCCATGGGGCGGAGGGCCTGCTTCACCTCGGTCCCAGGCTACTGGAGCCCAGGCTGCAGCCCTGCATGGTTGCTCAGGACCCCAGCCTCGGCTCCTGATGCAGGGTCTCCGGGGCTGGCTGGACCAGCATGAGTCAGGCTCTTCTCCAAACTGAGAGCTCCAATTTGAGTTTGAGGAGGAGCATCTTTATTTCTCCAGTCAATTGCTACCATCCAAAAAATGTTAGACTTCTGAATAAAGATCTGAAATCCTTTTCTTCAGCAAAGATGCTGTTGTAAGATCTCAGCAACAAAGCAAGCTGTCCCAGGCTGTGTGCTGGGCTGCATGTCGGCCCACAGCAACATGCCCCACATGAGAATCGGCCCACCCGTGTGCAGGCGCCATAGGCTATGCTCTGGCCTCCTGCCTGGCCAGTGGTCAGGATCTCACCAGATCTTCAGACCACGGTGGAGTTCACCCATCCCTGGCCTATGACTCTAGTGCTGACCGCTGACATGATTGATCTGCTCCACACTCTGGCCCTATTCCTCGACCTCCTTCCCCCAGCTACCCATCTGCGTGGTCTTGCCTCTGACCCCGTCATTACTGAGAACTCAGCTTCCAGGGTCAGGGCCCCAGGATCCTTGGAGCCATCCCACCTCTCTAGCTCACCTGAGTACCCCCATCAACTGGCTGCTTGCTCTCTGCACCCCGTGGCCTCCCCTGCAGACCCTCAGTTCCTTGCCTGCTTCTCTTTGGGCATTCTCTCCTGCCTGGGTCACCTGTTATCTGCTCAGTCTGCGCCTGCGTCCGAGGGGTCGGGCAGGGCTGGAGGAAACGGCCTTTGGCCTTCTCCGAGATGTGCCTTTCAGACCTGCTCCTGTCTCCTCAGCCCCTGCCCGAGCTGAGTCCCTGTTTCTTAATTCCCAGAGGAAGCAGATGTGCTGGCTCCCTCACTAACCTGCGTCTGTGCACGTGTGCTCACTGCCCTCCTGGTCTGTGCGTGGACCCTCCCTTCTCCCAGCACAGGCTGGTCAGTTCAGGTCCTCTGAGAAGCAGACCCTAAGATGGGGTCAGATGTGCAAGAGATCTGGGGGAGACGCCTGTGAGGGACAAAGGGGCTTGGCTGGAGGATAGGGGGGTGGGGAGGGGTGCCTCCACACCCGTGCTGAGCTCCCTTGCTCTGTCGGGGGCTGGGAGCAGCCTGGTCATGAGGCCTTGGCGCTGCCATGTGGCCCAGCAGGCAGCAGCCAGGCCACTGTCAATGGGCTCCTCAAGCAGGACATCTGAGCAGAGCGTCACACGGCAATGCAGGCCAGCCCTGCACCTGTGCCCAGGACCCCACACCCCCGTCACTCCCATCAACTCTCATGTCCTTGTCCTGCACCCGCACCTCGCTCCTGCTCTCACCGTTTCGCCTAACCCCTGATCTTGGTCAAACGCCTCAGGAGTCACCCCCTCCACCCTGGAAGCCACCTGGTCACCTCTGTTCTCCTTTCCAGCCCTGTGATCCTACCCCTCCTGGTGCCCCACAGACGTGGGGTTACAAATGTGTCCTAGTGGGCCTGGCTTCCTGCACTTAGCACACAGTCTCAAAAGTTCGTCCACGTTAGGACAGCAATTTTAAAACAATTTTGTGATGACCATCTTTCATCCATTTGAATTTACATTGCTGGCAGGTTTGAGGTTGGGGCCTGTGTATGGCTTTGTTTTTTTGTGAAGAAGACTGGCCCTGAGCTAACATCTGTGCCCATCTTCCTCTACTTTATATGTGGGACGCCTGCCACAGCATGGCTTGCCGAGCGGTGCCATGTCTGCACCCGGGATCTGAACTGGCAAACTCTGGGCCGCCAAAGCAGAGCATGTGAACTTAACCACTGTGCCACCGGGCTAGGGCCTGTGTGTTTTATACAGATGATTTGTTATCCACTTATCATGGCCACTTTGTGGCTGACTCTTCCTGCTGACCTGAAGGTTGGTTATTCTAACTAACTTTGTTCAGTGTGCATCCGCACGTTTTGGGTCTATCCCTGCCCGCCCTCTGCCACCCCTGCCCGGGCCACGGTGCACTGCATCTTGGTCCCTGCCTCTGTGCCACATTTTCGCCCAGCGCTCTGCTTTTCAGGATACCTGGCATCTGGCACACCCTTTCTCCCAGCAATGTCCAGTCACCGCACCCGCTGTGTACTTCCTGATCTTCTCTCTAGTTTCTTAGCACAGACGCCTTGAGGAGGACTTCGTGGCTAAAGGATATGGGCATTTTTAAGACTCCTGATAAATCTACGCATTGTGCCTTTGGGACCATGCGAGCTTGTGCTCCCCACCCGGGTCTCTTCATCCTGAGAGCATAGAGAGAGCTGACATGACAGTGACTCGAGCCGGCTTCATTGTGAGATGCCTTCTGAATCAGATGTCCTGTTGTATCCCAGGGCTCCAAACGGATCCTGCGGTCCCATGAGATTGTGCTGCCCCCCAGTGGACAAGTGGAGACCGACCTGGCGCTGACGTTCTCTCTGCAGGTGGGCCTGGCCCCGTGGGGGCCCCACGCTGCCACACCAGCCTCGGTCAGGGCCTCCTCCTCCGTGTTGGGAAGCGTGCTTTGGTTTGTCTCTCATCACGTTCCCACGATGTGGCAAGGTCGGGAACTCAAGTCACCAAGTTCCGGTCCTTTCATTCTAGTATTTAGAAAAGATGGGGAGGAGTGTGTGGAAACTCAGCTCTGAGGTTCAAGCCCCTTGAAGTGTTTGGGTGTGCTGGCGGGAATGTGGCCTCCGTTTAGACCGGGACACGCCCCCAGGAGAAACAGAACTCTCCCTGGACTCTGTGCTGAGCCCTGATCTGTCGAGGGGCCTAGATCAGCCCCAAACTGACCCCAAGGGCAGCTCCTCACACCTGTGTTCCTCTTTTTGTCCCTGTTGAAGATCCATGTACGGAGACTCAGCACATGCACTTCTGACCTGACACTTGCTTTAAAGATTAACGCCATAGTTACTATCAATCTGTTTCAGACCCATTGAAACTACTCTTTTCTCATTGCAAGTGTGTAAGACACTTTTCTCATTGTGAGTGTGTAAGACCCTGACCCTGCCTGGTGGGGGGTTGGAGGGCGTTCTGCCCTGAGCTCTGACGCCCTCTACAGCAGCTTCTGGGTTTTGTGTTGATTTTTTCTTCCCAGGGGAGTCAGGCTTATTGGAATACAATTTACAAGTTGTACAATTCACCCGTTAGAAGTGTGTGGTTCCATGGGTTTTAACAACTGTGCACAGGGGTGTAGCTACCACCGCAGTGAAGGTGCGGGACAGCCCCATTGTCCCCCAACTTTTAAAATTGGCTTTGATTTGTGAGCTTTAAGGCAGACTTGTGCACATCTGCTTTGTGTGCACAGGCTCGGCAATCACAAAGCCCTGGCCGCACCATGCACGGGCCACCTGGAGCAGTGCATAGCTGCCTGTGGCTGCCTCGGGGAGCACAGCGTCCCTTACAGGAGGCACGCCACCTGCCCTGCCACGCTGTGGGGAGCATGTGCTGGGTGCTCAGGGCCCACTGATCACCCAGATAAGCTTCTGAGCTGTTGTTGTATGTTCACAGATAGGTGGGCCCCTCCCAAAGGCTGTAGTAAACCATGCATGTCCCCCAGCAGTGGCTTTTAATGTAGACTGAGGTGCATGGTGACCCAGCAGGAGTGAGCCTCTGAGGGTCAGCAGGGGTGAGCCCTATGACACACAGGAGACCCTGCAGGTGTCAGGTGGGCATGATGGCAACTGTGACTCCCCCTTCTCCCTTAGTACCCACACTTCTTGAAGAGGGAAGGCAACAAGCTTCAGATCATGCTGCAGCGGAGAAAGCGATACAAGAATCGCACGATCCTGGGCTACAAGACACTGGCGGCGGGCTCCATCAACATGGCTGAGGTGAGGCTGCCCACGGCTGCCCTTCCTGCCGCCACAAGAGCGCCTGCGAGGCCAGCTCCAACGGGATGGCTGCCCTTCAGCCGAGGGTAGATTTTGGCTCAGGATGGGTCTGTCCTCTTCCCTCCTGAGAAGTGTCTGTGCAGTGCTCCCCCTCGCTGGTCCTCCTGTGACACCCGTGTGTCGCTCAGTTGGCACTGACCCTGGCTAGCAGGGCAGGGCTGCAGTCAGCGCAGGGGGCTATCAGGGGCAGACGGCATGCATGCTCGTGAGGGTCAGAGGGTGGCGTGAAGTCGAGGAAGTTCCCTATTGAGGAAATGAGAAAGTATGTCAGAACAGGACCAACAAAGTGACAGCTGGTCCTGGAGGGCAGCTCAGGGCCCCCCAGTGTCCCTTGTGCTTCTGGGCCTTTACGTAAATATCGTAGGACTGCGCCTGGGGCTGTCTAGGCAACTGCCCGGCGTCAGTGGTCCTCAGGAGCGCAGAGCTGTGCTAGTGCCTGCCTGAGGCAGGGCAGGGCAGGGGCGTGGGCTGGCTGGCCATGACAGCTCCACGTGGGGAGCCAAGGCTGCCCCCTGAGCCTTGTGGCCCACCCCCAGCACCTGCTCAAGCCTGCAGGCGTCCTATGCCTCCTCAGACCCTTGCTGCCTACCCACCGGCCTGTCCAGGACAAACACAAGTGCTGCTCAGGGCTTAGCCCCTCCCAGCTGCCTGTACCCAGGGAGACGTGGGGCAGGAGGGTTGCAGAGAGCCAAGAGGGGCTGGGGGCTGCATTTCTCTGTGCTGCTACTGGGCCTTAGCTGAGCCTCCCAGCCCCCAGACCCCAGAAGCGGCACAGGCAGACCAGGCCTGGACTCCTTGGGGCCCGGCAGGCTCCTCCGCTGGCCCAGGGCCTCTGGTCATCCAGCTGTCCTCTCTTCTGGCCCAGGGCCTCTGGACATCCTGGGCCTCCTGCCTCCAGTCTGAGTTACCAGGCTCAGAGGAGGCTCAAAGATGCCACCTCATCTTTCTGCTTGAGCAGAGGGGCCTGCTTTGTGTGGCAATGCTGTGTCCCATTCCATTTCTCACTGGCGATGCAAGCAGTATCCTGCAGCACATGCCAGCCCGCCCCTGACCTGTGTGGACCTTCTGTAAGAGGCCGGCTTCTCTCCTGTCATCCTGAATGGACAAAGGAGAAGAGCAGGTTTTCCTGAGGGCTCATGCCTTGGTTGAAGGAGCGGCAGCCCCACCTGCCCGCGCCCAGGCCCCTCCAAGCCGAGACTGAGCCCTGGCTCCTCTGGAGCAGTGCGTCCTGTGGCCCTGAGTGGCATGCACTCTGCCTGCTTGTTTTGTCAGGGCACCTCCCTGATGTGGGCGTCTGAGCTGCGCTGAGCACGTTCACACGGCTGTGTGACAAGAGCACTCGGCAGTTGGCGTCTCTTTAGCCAGGTGACGCAGGTGTGCTGGGGGCTGCGGCCTCAGACAGCACATGATATTGCGTGTGCTCCATGTGTTCATGAGTACATTGTCTCCAGGCACACATGCACACACAGGCATAGGGAGTGGGTCTGAGGCTTGGAGTAAACTTTATTTTTTACTTAAGAGTTTACACCCCAAATCAGGCCCCCCAAATTTTTAAAAATCTGGTCCATAAAATTCTAACACCTGGATTTGACCAAGTGACCCCAAAAGGCAGCTTCTAAAATGCAAAGGCTCCAGTGCACGTGTTCTCAGAGTTGTCGTTACAAGGCCCATGTCAAGGTGAATTGCTGGGTGTCTGGGGCTGGTGTGGAGCACAGGCTGTTGCTGGGGAGGGGCACGTGGGGTCACTCTGCTACTCTCCCTGGTTCTCTTGAAATCTCTTATGACCAAAATGACCCCAGTGGCTCACCGTCCTGGTGGGTCAGCCTGGTGGGGGTCGGCTCCACAGCCTGAAACCCCCAGCCTGCGGTGGTGCTGGTCCTCCTTGGTTCCCAGCAGACACGGGTCCCTGGAGTCATATCCCGTGAGTCCGTGGCCATGTCTGGGAGCTGCTGGCTGGCCCACAGCAGCAACTTCGGCGTTTGCCGCTGTCACAGCCACTGGGCGAGCAGGCTGCAGATCCTCCTCTCTGCCAACCTTCAGCCTCCAGTAGCTGAGCCTGCTGCTGACCTCCCCGGCTCGGCCCAGCGTGCTCCCTCCTGGCCTGTCCGCCCGCTCCCGTGTCCTCCCCTTGTGTCCCATCCACTGGCTCCTGTGTCCTCCTGCCTTGTGGCCATGTCTCCTGCCCACAGTGCGCTCCTACTCCTGTGGTTGCTCTGCTGAGGTGCCAGCCCCTCTTGTCACCGCCGAGAGGAAAGGCCATCAGATACCCCAGCATGTGCACCGGAAGGTGGGGCTGGTCCCTGCTCCGTGGTACTTTCTAGAACTGTGCCCTGCCCCCAGGTGATGCAGCACCCCTCTGAGGGTGGCCAAGTGCTGAGCCTCTGCAGCAACATCAAGGAGACCTCGGTCAAGGTGGCTGAGATCTGGATCTTCTCCCTGTCCAGCCAGCCCATCGACCACGAGGACAGTGCCATGCAGGCCGGCCCCAAGGCGAAGTCCACAGGTGAGTGCCGGCGCAGGATCCTCCATGTCCCTGTGTCTCTGCCACAGGACGCCCCCTCCTGGCCGCCGTCGTGTCGGGTTTGAGACATCGGGGCGGGGATGCAAGGGTTTGCAGGCTGCTCTCGGCTCTAGCCTCCCAGCAGAGTTGTGCGTGCTGTTGTGGGAGCCCAGGCTGCAGGGTGTCCCAGCTCTGCTCTCGACACTGTGACATCATCAGTGAGCGGAGGTTGTGGGGTTGATCGCAGTGCCTCCAGGGTCTAGGCACAGGTCCTGGTGTGGTTGTCACCACCATCACACTTGGGGTCACCGTCCGCCTGAGGTGAAGGAGGGCAGGCAGGAAACCTGGTCCAGCGCGAGATCCAGGCCGAAAGGCGTGACAGCAGGAGGGGTTTTCCAGGCTGCTGTGGGGGCCGGGCCTGCGGGGGTGGAAGCACAGCCCCCCACCGTCCTTAACTACCCATCTGCCAGGGCTGCCCAGCTTCCTCTGTGCTGCCCGCGGGGTTGTCTCCTCGTGGGCCCCACGTGCCCGAGGCCTGTCGTCAGGTTGCCGCCTCATTGCCAGGATGCGGTCGGAACCTTGCGGTGTTCTCCCTTCCCTTTGCTTGTTCCGCAGATAACTACTCTGAGGAGGAGTATGAGAGCTTCTCCTCGGAGCAGGAGGCCAGTGATGATGCCGTGCAAGGGCAGGTAACTTGGGGCTGCGTGTGACGGGGCCACCTTGGCCATGCAGGGACCATGTCTTACTAGGAGATGCCTGCTTCAGAGCCCTGGTGCCCTGTGCCCAGCTCCCGCCAAGATGCCCCAGCTGCTGGCAGCCCACAGCTGACGGGCCCAGGACCTCCAGAGTCACCACTGCCAGGGTGGCACAAGGCAGGAGAGGCTGGGAGCTCGGCCCCCCTGTGGCACCTTGTTTTTCCGTCCCCAGGGCTGGGAGTGCGTCAGCAGAGCTGTGGGGTGCCCTGGAGGCCACTCCCTTGTCAGCTCCTGGGAGACGGACCTCCACCGAGCCGCCCGGGAGGCCGCCTGTCCCTGTGGGGAGGCCCTGGCCAACAGGCGTGTGGTGGGCAGTGGGGGTCCCTGGGGCCCTGTCCAGGCTGGCCCCGGCCTTAGGTGCTGTGGTGTCCTTGCAGGATCTTGATGAGGATGACTTTGATGTGGGGAAGCCCAAGAAGCAGAGGCGATCGATAGTAAGAACGACGTCCATGACCAGGGTCGGTGGAAACTGGTTTTACTAACGCTAGGGAAGGGCAGAGGGCGGGGCTGGGTGGTGGGGCACACGGCCATGGTATCAGCCCAACCTCAGGGGCTCTGGGAGGTTGAGCCCTCAAGAGGGCGGGATGGGGAGGCGAGGGGATCATGGCGTGCACAGTGCTGTCCCCCATGGCCTGGCTCCGTTGGCTCCTGAGGTCCAGTCTCTTCCCCTGGATATGGTGTGAAGGTGGGGAGACCCTGTGCCACAGCCTTGTCCTGGGAGGGGGGCTGTGAGGTGCCATTGTCAGTTATGGGGCATCCCCAGGCTGCTGGCCACAGGCCCAGAGGGCAGCGGACGAGGCCCGGGGGCTGGCTTCCTGCCCAAGCCACTCCACGAGCAGAGCCTGGGGCTGCCCCCTCCCTGCTTGTGCCCAGACATGCCCTGTGTGAGGCCAGTCCCCCACGTCTCTCAGTGTCCGGCCCACCTGGCAAGGTGGCCCCGGGGGGCTTGGCAGGGCTGTCAGCCTTCTCCTTCAGGAAGAAAGTTCTGGGCAGAGGCCTTGGCCTGTCACCGAATGTCCTCCACTGGGTGCCTGGAGCTCCTGGGAGGCTCACAGCTGCTCCCCGTCTGCCAGGCCATGGCCCCAGCACCGTGGTGGCCAGGGAAGCCCTGGTACTGATGGGCCATCGGGCACAAGCCCAGCCCCAGAAACCACTGCCCCCTCGGTGGTGCTGGGAGGCTGGGGCTGGTCCTGACAGATCTGGTGACGCGTGTCCTTTCTGTACCATGCTCAGCAACCACACTACTGTGGGAGCACCTGGTTGAGCCTCAGTTCTGGGGCCCAGGTGCACAACTTCTGTGGAGCGGACCACTGGCCTCCTTTTATAGAATTGGACCCCCAAGGATGGCTGAGTGGCTACCTCGCTCAGTGGCCAGAGCTGAGCCCCTGTGGCCCCAGGTGGCACCAGAAACAGACAGAACTCAGGCTCTCTGCTGAGCCCTCGCCACCCCCGCCTCCCCTGATGCCCACATGCATCTGCTGGAGTGAGGTGGTGCTCCGGAAGTGGCCAGTGAGCCCAGGAAGGGCTAGCAGCTTTGTTTGCACGGAGGCTTCTGGAAGAACCGTAGAGATGGCGCATGCCTTCCGTCTGGTTCCCCTTCGCCAGGCCTGGGACTGTGGGCTCTGTCCTGGTCCATTCCTGAGTCTGCCTGCAGCTTTGGGTTCAAATGCTCATGAAATGCTTCTTGTTCAACTTCTGAGAGCTGTGTTTGAGTTCATAAATGTCGCAGCGGGCAAAGCCACGCTGCCCTCTACTGGGGCTGCACTCGTGGGCCCAAGGTGCCGGCCTCGCTGTGTCCTCCCAGGGGAAGCGGCTCCCGTGGGTCTGACTCTGCCCTGCTTTCTTACAGCAACAAAACTTCAAGCAGAAAGTCGTGGCTCTGCTGCGGAGGTTTAAAGTGTCGGACGAGGTGAGTGGGCCCCCCGCCCCGTCCCCTCACGCCCACAGCAAAGCGTCCTGGCTGGAGGGCTCTGGAGGCCAGTTCTGGGTCAGGTCCTGGCTCTGCCGCTTACTGTCCACATGGCCCTCTGGCCATCACTCTCTTTGTCCTCAAGAATGGGTAGTGGTGTTGCCTGCCCGCTAGGGACACACCAGGGGTCGAACGGAGGCCCCTGGAGATCGCCGGCTATGTCAATGAGCTGACTGGGGGGGAGGCAGGACCTCGTCGTCTTTGGGGGGGTGTGACCAGGGGTTTTTGTGTTTTGTGTCCTTCTATAAATCAACTTTATTTTTAGGGCAGTTTTAGGTTCACAGCAAAATTGAGCAGAAAGAAAGGGCAGGGTTCTCATACACCCCCGTCACCACACAGCCTCCCCCACTGTCAACATGCCACATGTTTTAAAAATTCTTTCTTTTAGCTTTTCTCTAGTCTCCAGATTTTCTATGATGAGTTTGCATAACTTTTATAACCAGAAGAAGAATGCCTTGGGTTTTTTTTTAATGTGGTCAAAGGAAAAGTAGTCTGCAGGTTCTAGACCCACCCAGGAGAGGTGGCATTCAAATATCTGAGCCCCAGGTGTCATCATCACACATGATCATGTGGCACCGAAAGCGAGCTGAGCTGCCCAGCAATGGTGGCCACACATCCACACACACGAAGGCTGTCCCCTCAGGGGCTGTGGCAGGTCAGCTCTTCTCAGACGCAGGTGTGAGACAGATGCACCTCAGCCCCAGGGCTCCCAAAATTCACCTACAGATTCAACAGCATTCCTGTCTGATTCCCAGCTGCCCTTTTGTAGAAATCAACCAGATAGTCCTAAAACTTACATGGAGATGCAAGGGACACAGAATAAACAAAACCACCTTGAGAAAGAAGAACAAAGTTGGAGGACTCATGCTTTCTAATTTCAAAGTGGACTGCAAAGCTGCAGTCGTCAAGACCATGTGATGATCAGTGGAGTAGAGTCAGGAGTCCAAAATAAATCATCTGTTTATATTCAGTTGATTTTCAACAAGGATGCCGGCCTGTTCAATAGTGGAAAATGGCCTTTTCAGCAAATAGTGTGGGAACAACTGGAGAGCCACATGCAAAAGAGTAAAGTTGGAACCCTCCACGTACAAAAATTAACTCAAAATGGATCAAAGACCTAAATATGGGAGCTAAAACCATGAGACTCTTCAGAGAAAACATGGGAGTAAATCTTTGTGACCTCAGTTAGGTGATGATTTCTTAGATGTGACACAGAAAGCGCAGGCAAGCAAAGAAAATGCCGTCAGTGGGGTTGCATTGACGTTTAAGACCTCTGCTCCAAACAGCACCACTGAGAACAGGGAACCGTAGCCATAAAGCAGAACGCTGTTGCAAATTATGTATCTGATGAGGGGCTTGTGTCCAGGATATATAAAGAACACTTAGAACTCAACAATAAAAAGACAACCCAATTTAAAAAGTTCATTGTCCAATTTAACACTTGGGCAAAGGATCTGCCGAGACACTTTTCATCGAAGAAGATCTAAAACAGCCCTCAGCCCTGGAAGGATGCTTGGCATCACTAGTTGTCAGGGAAATGCAGGCCAGAACCCCTGAGACACCACTTCCTGCTCACCAGGGTGGCTGTGATTGAAAAGATGGAAAATAATAAGTGGTGGCGAGGACAAACAGCCGGAACCTGTCTCACTGCTGGGGGCAGTGTGGAAGGGTGCAGCCACTTTGGAAAACAGTGTAGTAGTTCCTCTGAAGCTCAGTGCACAAGACAGACGCTGAACGCCCAGCAGTCCGTTCCTGGGTACATGCCTCCAAGAGAGAGACACGTGCCCACACTAAGCCTGGTACGCAGATGTTCACAGAGCCTCAGTTGTTACAGCAAATGCTGGAAACAGGCCCACGTCCATCCGCTGTTGTCGTTTAGACACTTGGTCCCTCGTGCCGTTAGGTGGATCCCCACTCCGAGCGCCCTGTGCACAGCCGAGGGAACCTGTCCTTCTGCACCACCCTCCCACCTTCCGGCGCTGTATCAGACATGCTCCTCTGCTGTTCACAGGGCTTTCATGGCCAGTGTCTTCAGAAGTGGGTGGCCAGGTCCTTCTTTCTAGTCTGTCTTGTCTGGAAGCTCCACTGAAACCTGTCCACCAAGGGTGACCCTGCTGGTGTTGGAAACAGCAGTGGCAGAGCTTTCAGCATCACAGCAACACGCAGCCACCACAGTGTGACACCTGGTAGACACGTGGTGAGCACCAAGTCTTTCTTAATCACGAGACCACCAGGGCTGGCTGAAGAGTTAGCTATTGGCAAACACAACACAACACGGATGGCTCTTAAATCCATCATGCTGAGTGGGAGCAGCCCCACAGCAGGCTGCATGCTGTGCAATTCCATTTATGTGACATCCTGGAAGAGGCCAGACACGGGGACAGGAGTCACTTCGGTGGTTGCCTGGGGAGGAGAGGGGACTAGGAGGGGAGGGAGCCTGCCTGGGGAGGGGAACATTTACATCCTGATTGTGGACGTGGCCACATAGCGCACGCGCCTGTCACAGCACTGCCTTGGCTCTGGAGGCTGCATTTGTGTGTTGAAGCGCGTCGCACAGCGGGATCACAAGAGGGTGCCGAGGCAAGACAGAGCGGCTAGCCGTGCCCAGCGCCTGGGTGACAGGAGGTCCCTGGGGGTCGCCCCAATGTGTGGGATAGCTGGGCTGAGGGATGTACTGGAGAGGGTGCTTGGTGGCTCTGGCCCCCTTCCCGTCTGTCCTGCAGATGCTACTTCTGGCCCTTTAGCCAGTCTGCCAAGGGGACCCCGCCACGCTGGTCCTCACACATCTGACCTCGCTGTAGGTTCTTGACTCAGAGCAGGACCCTGCAGAGCATGTCCCCGAGGTGGAGGAGGACCTGGACCTTCTGTACGACACACTGGACATGGAGAACCCCAGTGACAGCGGCCCCGACATGGAGGACGACGACAGCGTCCTCAGCACCCCCAAGCCAAAGCTCAGGTGAGCACACCGCCTGCCAGCCCGGGCGGTTGTGGGGCGTGAGGGAAGCAGGGTCGTGGGGAACAGGCCCCTGGGGTGCGGGCTCCGGGGAGGGGAGGCCTGGAGCCACGTGTCCTGACAGGCAGCCCTCCTGCAGGGTTTGTGGAGGGTGAGGGGCAGTGAAGTGGCAGGACCCAGTTTGCATTCCGGAAAGATCTCTCTGGAGTCTGTTGGAAACATGAAGACAGGGAGACCTGTTGGGAGGCAGTTGGGGTCTTCCCTGCCAGAGGCCGTGGTGTCAGGGATGGGGGCAGGAAGGTGTGCGGAGGCCAGCGCTCCAGGGGCAGGGCAGGTGGGATGTGGGCAGGGCCAGGTCCTCCCAGGGTGCTGCCTGGTCAGGGGAGGCACCCCGTCACAGGACGGGGACCAGCGAGTGCGGGGCCACAGAGCTGGCTCTTCTGTCCCTGGGTGGGGCCAGGGCTGCACTGGAACTGCAGAGGGCGTCCCTGTCACACCAGCGGGAGGAGCGAGCCGGTGCTCCGGGGCGCCTCTCCCCAAGGGGCCTGGCATGCATGGCTGGGTGTTCACAGGGACCCAGAGAGGGCAGTGGGCAGAGGATGGGGCCCAGCCTGGGGCAGGAGGGGAGGACACGGCTTGGCACACGGCGTTGGGCCTGGATTCCCAGGAGGCCCAGTCTGTTGTGGGGCACAGCCCACAGGACAGGCTGCGAGGAGGAGGGGAGGTCTGGTCAGAGCCGGGGAGGTTTATGCACCTTTTGTCTGTTTTTACTGTTTTAGCATAAGCAAGTGTCACAGAGAGGCACTTACAGGAAGGGTGCTCACCCCGCACCCCGTGCCCCCACCCCGTCCCCGCCCAACTGCATGGTGCCATCTGGTGCGTGGGCTCAGGTCAGGGTGTCGGTGCGTCCAGGCTTAGCTTGGTGCTGCAGGGAGAGGCCCTGCTCCCTTCTTGCCCGCCCTCCATCCCTGGAGCCCCACGGTCAAGTCCCCTCAGTCTTTGGACCCCTCTGTCCTCCCCGCCTTCAGCTGGGGAGGGTCTCTGCTTCTGTCCACTCACACACTCACCTCAGCGTCCCCATCTGCAGCTCCGTCATGTTAGCTGCACGTTTGAACTGAGTCCCTGGCCTGCTAGTGCTCACAATTCTCAGGTGAGGCCTGAGCATCTCTGGGCCTTGGTCCTGCCTACCACACACAGCATTCCCACCCTCAGATTTCCACGTCCCCATGTGGCTCTGTCAGCAGACACAGCATGAGTCCTGCCATCAGCTTAGTTTGAAATGTCTTCCAAGTCCCTTTGAATCTGTAAGCCCCGTCCCCTCCCCCGTCTCTCTCTGCTGGGGGTGGACGTTGGCCTGGTTGGCCTGGGATCGCTTGGGACTTGCTGATGGTGCCCTCGTGGTGCTGTTCAGTGTGTTCCTGTGTTCCTGCAAGCTGGCTGTGGGTCCCAAGGTCTGCCACCTGGACAGTTTGTCACCCTGTGCCCTGGCTGCCCTGGCCAGAGTCAGGTCGTGAGAGGATGGGCTTTCTGGGGTGACGTCTTCTCCAGCTGAGCTCAGAGCCGCTGGAGGAGCTGAGCGGGTCAGCAGCTGTGTGCTGCGGTGTTCTCTCCCAGGCGAGATTCCTGAGGGCCGGCGCTGGCGCAGGGCCTTCCGATGCCACTTCTCTGTACCCTGCCTGCTCTGCCGTCACCCCCTCCAGGCACAGTGGCTGTGCCTTCAGTGTGGGGAGGGTCCCAGAGAGTAATGTCCTTGTCTGTCCCCAACACCCAGGCCGTACTTCGAAGGCCTGTCACACTCCAGCTCGCAGACAGAGATCGGGAGCATCCACAGCGCCCGGAGCCAGAAGGAGCCCCCGAGTCCGGTGAGCGGCTCTCGTGCCCGCAGCCCTGCACTCCCCATGGGGTCCTTGGGCCAGGGCTGGGCCGCCCTGATCCCTCTGTCTGTCGGAGTCGCTTGGGGTGTCACTTCCACATTGGTGCTGGACAAACCAAAAGCTCAGTGTGCTTCTGGATTTGTGGTGTGGTCCGAATCCCCTGCCTGATGCCAGATGACTGTGGTGGCGTGGCCCTGAGTCCATGGGCCAGAAAACCTCAGCCAGTCTGCCTGGGCTGCCTCCAAGCCCAGAACCCCCTGCCCAGAGGTGACCCAGCTTTGGTGCCCTCCACTGGACACAGCCTGACTCCCGTCTTATCCACACAGGCTGATGTGCCCGAGAAGACGCGGGCCTTGGGAGGCAAGCAGCCAAGCGACAGCGTCTCTGACACAGTGGCCCATGTAAGTAGGCGCTGGGCCACGTTCACTCATTTGAGCACGGCAGGGTGGGGCTGGACATCCGAGTCGTCCTGATCACACCACCCAGTACCCATGCACAGAGTCACGATGAGGGCCTCCTGGATTCCCCCTGTCCCAGGGGCTGGTCAAGACCCCTGGATTCTCCCCGATCCTGGAGGACAGTCAGGACTCCCCTGTGTTCACCCCCACCCCAGGGGGCAGTCAGAATACCCAGATTCTCCCTCATCCTGGGGGATGGTTAAGATGCCTCCGGATTCACCCCCACCCTGGAGGATGGTCAAGACCCCCCCCCCAGATTCACCCCAGCTGTAGGGGGACGGTCAAGACCCCCCTGGGTTTACTCCCACCTTGGAGGACAGTCTGGACCCCCTGGATTCCCCCCAGCCCTGGGGGACAGTGGGTGTCCCCTTGTTTCATGGTCAGGCACAGGCCTGGTGAACACCTGGTTGGCTCCTGCTGTTCTTGTCGGGGTTCTCAAGGAAGGTTTCCTGGGCCACGGGGCACATTTTATGGGAGACTTGGTGCTGGTCTCCCCATGGTGGCCAGGACCAGGAGCCCTGTGGTTGGAGGTCAAGGTCAACTTGGCTCCCCAGGGCAGTGTGTGGCGTGTCCACGTGCAGGGAGACGCCAGCCCAGGGACCCCATGGGCATGAGAGTGCGGGCACAGAGGGGGAAGCCCTGGCAGGGAGTATGTGCCCGACGAGCTCCCTTTACCCGTCAGAGTGCGCCCGTCCCGGGGGAGCAGCCTGCGCAGCCGGTGGACAGCCCAGAGGTGGAAACCTCTGCCCTGGATGTGTTCACTGAGAAGCTGCCGCCCAGTGGGCGCATCACCAAGACGGAGTCTCTCGTCATCCCCTCTACCAGGTGACGGCCGCCTGGGGGCCATCAGCCAGGCAGGTGGGAGGGAGGGACCCGTGAGTCAGGGTGTGGGCGCCCCATCAGTGCAGGGCTTGTTCGACCAGATGAGGATCTCTCAGGGCTCCCCCTGGAGGTGACACTGGACCCCCACAGCCCATTTGTAGGTGGCCGCTGGCAGGTTTGACGGGGCCGAGGAACGACTGCCTGCTCCCAGGGCAGGGCTGGCTCTTGTGGCCCCGTCATGCATTTTCTTAGACCTGGTAGCATAGCTGGCACCCCTGAGGGCCAGTGCCCATGCTGGGGGCTGTCTGCTCTGGTGCCACCGGCTGCCGGTGTGGGTGCAGTGTGCTCTGCTGGGCCCAGCGCCCAGCGTGGGTGGGCACAGCAGGTCTCAAGGAGTGGTGCTGAGTCCAACACAGGAGCTCTGCCGAGCAGGGCCGGGGTCCCGAGGCGCCTCCTTCCCAGAGTGGGTCACGTTACTGAGTGCCCAGTGTTGAGAGGGGAGGGTCTGAGCTGCAGTGACCTGGGCGGTTTCCTGGTGAAGGTTGGTCCATCAGAGCTTCTTGCGTGGTCTTGCCCCCTTTGCTGTCTTGGTAGACCCAGGCCATCTCAAAGCCCTGCCTGGGACGCCCTCTGGCCCCGGCTCTGCTGCACCTTCCCTGGGCACCTGCCCTTGCCCATCTGCCCTCTGTGCCATTGTGTGTGGTCGTCCCTCCCTGCTAAGGTTGGCCCACCACTGCACTAGGGCCTCGGTTCCCACCCTTGGCTTGCTGGGCTGTGGCCTTCCACAGGGTAGCCTGCCCCAGAGGAACAGCAGAACTGGCGTGGGCACCCTGCCCCTCTCCTGGGGCTGTAGTCCCGTGCAGCTGGCACATGCACGTTGCATCAGGCCTTGCACCCCAGCTTTAAAGCACGGGTGCCAAGTGTGGGCATGGCCTCTGCATCGACCCCTCACCCCACAGCTCAGCCTGTGCTGCCCTCTGCCTGCCCTGCCACCCAGTGCGAGTCCCTTCAGAGAAGAGAAACAAAGCCCAGCGTTGACCCAGCATTCTGTGGTGAACCCTCAACCCTAGCTTTTCACCAGGCGGGAGCTCCCGCCCTGGCTGCAAGAGCCAGCAGGACAGGCATATCAGCCCCCCGATTCTGTGGGGTCTCGGTTTTGTTCCTGTGATGGTTGGGACTTCTCTGGAAGCAGTGGGTGTGGGTGCTGGCATTCACCTGGGGGGTGCACAGGGACCTGTCAGGGCTGGGAGGGGTCACTCTGAGGGCCAGGGTTCTGGGCACTGGCCTCCTCCTGGCTTGTCCCAGAGTGGGGGTCTCCTGAGGCCACCCTGAGGTCGTCCTCTTGTCCACCTGGCCTGAGAATGAGGAAATGGGGCCATGCATGAGGTCTCATTCAGGGCATGCGGAGCCAGAGTGCAAGCTCAGTCGTGGGCCGCTACTGCCACACTTTCTGGGGTCAGTGGCCTCTATGTGGCTTGTGGCCCTACTGCCCAGCAGGCGACACTGGCCATCCTCAGCTGCCCCCACAACTGAATGGCTCCCTTCCCTGGAGTAGTGAGCATGTGGGCCTGCTCCAGCCTGTCCTGGTCCCCCACAGGTCCGAGGGGAAGCAGGCTGGCCGCCGGGGCCGGAGCACATCCCTGAAGGAGCGGCAGCCAGCACGGCCGCAGAACGAGCGGGCCAACAGCCTGGACAATGAGCGCTGCCCAGACACCCGGAGCCAGCTACAGGTATGGGGGTGAGGTGGATGCCTACCCTGCCAGCAGGGACCATGGCCAGCCCAGGACTGAGCCACTGCTAGGCAGGTCTCGGGTGAGGTCAGCCTGTACCAGTTGGGCTTGTTTGGGTGATGCGCCGCCTGTATGCCACCCACCCTAGGCCCGGGCAGCCCCCGCCTCGTGGCTGTAACAGCCTCTGCCCAACACAAAGCCGCGTTCCCCCCACTCCCACGTGCTGCTGGGGCCGTGGGGGGAGTCGCCTGGGCAGGTGAGGGGGTGGGCACGGTGGCCCTCCCATCCGCTGTAGAAGGCCCCTGTGTCTCCAGATCCCCAGGAAGACCGTGTACGACCAGTTAAACCACATCCTCATCTCCGACGACCAGCTCCCTGAGAACATCATTCTCGTTAACACCTCCGACTGGCAGGGGCAGGTGGGGAGCAGCCGGGCTTCCTCCCTGCTGGGTGGAGCGGGGGACACAGGGGCGTCTGGCCAGCCTGCGGTTGTGGATCTCTGTCCACCACAAGGTCGTGGGCGAGGCTGGTGGCAGCGGCTCTGTGCTCACCGCCCCCCTCGCCCCCAGTTCCTCTCGGACGTGCTGCAGCGGCACACGCTCCCCGTGGTGTGCACCTGCTCCGCAGCCGACGTGCAGGCCGCCTTCAGCACCATCGTCTCGCGGATACAGCGATAGTGAGTCCCAGGCCTCCCAGCCACTGCGCGCCGCTGCCGGGGTATCTGTCAGGGTCCCTGCACCCCAGCCTGGCCCGTGGCTTCGTCCTGGGTGCTCTGGCGGGTTCCAGGCCTTGACCCGCAGGCACTGCTGTCCCGTCGTCTCTCTGGATCCTTTCCAGGCGGGCGGGGGTGCAATAGCCCAGGCGTAGTCCCTGCGGCACTGAGGGGCGCTGGCGGAGAAGCAGCCTCTGGTGGCTGCCTGGGTGAGGACCAGACCCCTGGGCTCAGGACTCTGCTGTTGGGGGCCTGGGTTTAGGCAACTCCATTAGGTCGTGAGCGGCTGCGGCTCCATGTGACCAGAGAGGCCTGAGTTAGGGGTCAGGTGGTGCAGCACTCACCTTGGTCCTGAGCTGTGTGCCTCGGACCCCTGGGGCCTCCCTGGGCTCAGGGAGGGTGTCCTCTCGGCTCGGCGGGGACGGCTCGCTGAGGTGTCTGTCCCCTCCGTCCTGCCGCGGACGCAGCTGCAACTGCAACTCGCAGCCCCCGACGCCTGTGAAGATCGCCGTGGCGGGTGCTCAGCATTACCTCAGCGCCATTCTCCGGCTCTTCGTGGAGCAGCTGTCCCACAAGACCCCTGACTGGCTGGGCTACATGCGCTTCCTCGTCATCCCCCTGGGTGAGGCCCCAGCCGCGCCTCCTCGCAGACCCCCTGGGCCTCAGGCTGGGTGGGGGCTTGTGCACGGCGGGGTGCCAGGTCTAACCGTAAGCAGCAGGCTGGTCGTCCCAAAGCCACTGTGCTGGTGGGAGCACAGTGCTGGCCGCCCTTTGAAGCGCCCGCACCCGGTGTCCCCTCTCGGGGCACGGGCCCCACAGTCAGTTGTCAGGATGTGGCTTGATGCCAGTTTTGATTTTTGTTGTCAGAAATGCAAAGCAGGAGTCAGTTATCAGTCCTTTAAAGTTATCAAGATCCTATGTTGTTGAATCCTGTTAGTTTTTCTGTTCACACAATTAATTTCATTCCAAACAAACCTGTAAGCTTTCACTTGCTGGAAAGTGACCTGTCTTAGAGAAGACCTCTCCCCCAGCGTGAGACCCGCTGGCGTCTGAGTGCCCTCTGTGGTCAGCAGGACAGCCATGGCCCCTGTCTGCCCAGGTGGTGGCAGAGCTGCCATGATTGGGCCGTGGAGCTGGGTGATCAGGGAGGCACTCTGTGGGCGGTCTGTGCGCCCTGACGCCTGCCCCATGCCCACAGGCTCCCACCCCGTGGCCAGATACCTGGGTTCCGTCGACTACCGCTACAACAACTTTTTCCAGGACCTGGCCTGGAGAGATCTGTTCAACAAGCTGGAGGCCCAGAGCGCCGGTGAGGCCCGGGGTGCGTGGCTGGGGGGCTGCCCTCACATCCACGCTGCCATGCCTCTGTTAGAGGGAGAGTCATTGTCTTCTGGACAAGCCCCCCATGCCTGCCTCCGTCTCCAGCCCAGCCGTGCCTGGTGCCTGGGGGTCAGCAGACAGGGCGGCAGAGCCTCTGCCCAGACACTTCCCTCTGCCTGCTGCAAGCCACAGGGCTCGCTGGTGACGAGGCTGGGCTGGGAGGGGTGGGCCCAGCCCTGGGGAAGGGCTCTTCAGGGTTTAAAGAAGCCTTGCTGCCTTCGCCCAGGACCCCATGAGGGTGGAGGGCGAGGGCCCTCGGCTGCCCCAGCTCCTGGACTTGGAGCTGGCAGCCTCGGGGGGCAGCAGTGGAGCAGGGCCAAGCACAGCGCCACCTCTTCGTGCAGTGCAGGACACGCCGGACATCGTGTCGAGAATCACGCAGTACATCTCAGGTGCCAACTGCGCCCACCAGCTGCCCATTGCAGAGGCCATGCTGACCTACAAGCAGAAGAGGTACCTCGTGGGCCCTGGGCCTGGGTGGGGTATGGGGAGGCGAGAAAGCACCCTGCTCCGTGCTGCAGACGCAGGCCACCCATGGCCACTGTCCCCACGTGGGCCTCCATGCCATGGCGGGTTTCACCCGGCGCCTGCGGCCCAGCTCCTCTGGGGCACGCTGGGGGCTCCATGGGATGGTGTGGGCAAGCCTGGGGGCCGCAGGATGGGACCCAAGCTGGGCAGCCCCTGGTCCTCCTCAACAAAGGACCCTTCACTGACCCCAAGTCAGAATTAGAATGAGAGTCATCTTTTCGCTCTATTTTTGGATGTGTTGGAATTTCCTGTAATAAAAGTCAAAAGCACAGTGGTCAGGGTGCCCAGCCCCTAGCAGGGACCTGCTCCCTGGAACCCAGGCTCACCGTCTTTCCACAGCCTGGGCTTCCTGGCGGGGGACACATCCTCACCCTGGCCAGAGCAGGATGGCGGTTAGCCATGGGCCGGGGCCAAGCTCAGGGGAGGTCCGGCTGCCTGGCCTGGGGTGGGGGAAGCTGGGGCCCCTTCTTGGCCAGGCCTTGGGTGCAGCGGCTGCTCTGGGGAGTGCTGTGTAGGCAAAGGGCCAGCCAGTGCAGGGGAGTGAGGCAGCAGGGCAGGCACGGCTGGCCACGGCCCAGCAGAGGGGGCACCACATCTGCTCCCATCTCAGGGACGCCGGGTCTCCTCAGGCAGGAGGATGAGGAGTAAGTCAGCATGCATGGCCGTGAGAAGCCAGCTCATGGCCCGGGTCTTCCACGCAGCAGGGGCGTGCCGTCCCTGTGCTGGCACCTCTGCCGCGGAGCTGTGCCTGGGGCACGTCGCTACTCCAAGCGTGTGATAACGTGTCTGTGTTTTCTCTTTTGGCGGCTTTCTGAAAAGGAAAAAGAACTTTCATTTTGACTTTACCCTCAGGTACCGCTGTCTCTGGGTCTGTGCCCCCTTCTGTCCTCGGGCTGGTCTTTAGGGCTGTTTAGCAGTGTCAGCAGGTGGGGATGTGTCCCCGAAGGGCCACCACCCCCAGATTCACTGTCCCTACTACCCGCTTCCCGGTGGGAGTCAGGAGAGCAGCAGCCGCCCGGCTGGCCCAAGCCAGGCCAGCGCTTGGGCCCCACCTGGGTTTGACGACCACAGAGTCCTGCAGCCTGGAGCTCAGGCCCGGCAGGCTCTCCTCTGTCTGTGTGAGGCCAGAGTTTTGGTTTAAGAAGTGGCCGAGTTCAGTCTCTCCGTGAGTGTCTGTGTTTCTGAAGCCACGGGTGGCGCTTTCTCATAAAGTAGAAGCAGGTGCCTGGGATCACGCCGCAAGCACCCACCACTGACCGCTGACCGCTGACGACGCCACACCCTCCGTGTGCGGGCTTTGCTCCTGGCACGTCGTGTTTATTAACCCAGTTCACGTGCCAGCAGCCCTTGGAGAACGGCATTAATGCTGAGTCTACGTGTGGGACGTAGGGTGACAGAGGATGGGGAGCTTGCCTCAGGGTGATGCAGCGGTCAGCAGCCTGCTGGAGCCCACCACACCAGGAGCCCGGCTCCCGCCCCCCACCCCCAACCACGGGGCAGCAGAGAGGCACAGAGGGTTCTCCCAGATGCGTTTGGTGGCTCATCTGGATAGTGCCCAGACCGCTGAGACCCCCACATGCAGGTGAAGCCTTTTCACTGAAGTGGCTCTTCTCTCTGAAAACCTGTGTGTAGAGAGCCAAAGCCGGCCACCCCCCAAGCCAGCCTTTCCCGGGGGGTCACCCCTTCCTGCCCTGTGTTCTGCCCTGGTGTCTTCCTCGGGGCGCTGCTCTGCCCTGGTGTTGGGTTGTTTACTCTGCTGGGAAGGAAAGGCCCCCAGGGCAGGGTCATTAGGTCCCAGCAGCCTCCTTGCTGGGCCCTGGGACAGACCAGGAGAAGGGTCTGAGTCCCTAGGGCTGTCCTGCTAAACAAGCCTCAGCGAGCTAGAGAAAGACCAGCTGCGCTGCGCCTGCTGGCCCCGAGCCGGCCTCCGGGCCCATGGCTGCTCCCGTCCGTCCGTTGTGGCTCCTGGAGCCCAGAGCACGCTTCGCTGCTTGGCCGCAGCTTCTCGTCTCCCACTGCCAGCCCATCTGAGCAGTGAACCAGGGCTTCAGGAACCCCTGTGCCTCCTGCCCCTGTCCCTGTGTGACAAAGGTGACACCGGCGCCTAGGGTAGGGGCTCTGAGGCCCTGGCCGGAGCCTCGTGAAAGCCCAGCTTGTTGGCCCCCCTTGGAGCCCAGGCCAGGAGGTCAGCAGGTCAGCCTCTGCCTGCTGTGACAGAGGACACCGTTCCATCTACCTGGAGAGCTCAAGAGACCCAGGAGAGCATGGGCAGTGCGCTTGGCCCTCTTGGCCCCCGCCCTCTCCTGGCCCCTCTGCAGCCTGGGCCCTCTGTGAGAGCATCTACAGGGAGGGTCCTGTCTATACCTAGCGCCTGGCCTGAGGTCAGACCCTGCCCTTGGTCCCTGCCCACCTGCTAGGGGCAGGCGGCTGTGAGAGGGACGCTCAGTGCGCCAGGTCCTGGCCGTGGGGTCACGCCCCGCAGCGTCCGCGGCCTGTTGTTCAGCTAAGGCATCCTTACACCTGCCTCCACGCGCACCCTCGGAGCCAGATCCGGAGCCTCGCCCCAAGCTGCGGGCTGAGCTTTAGTTCTGACACTGCCCCTGCCAAGAACATGTGTGTGCCCCTCTGCCTCAAGGTTTGGGTGGAGGGTCTCAGTGGCAAGCCGGTGTCACCCCTGTCGTGCCGGGTGTGTGTCCACTGCTGGTGTTGTCTGCATGGCCCAGAGGTGCAGCTTGGCTTCGAGAGTCCCAGCAGCATCCTTGTGTTGTGGCGTCTCCGAGTCTTGGCCCTCGTCTGCCCTCTTGCGTGCCGCTCATGGGGAGGGTCACGGGGCAGTGGCTTGCTGAGGGCGGGTGGCCCTGTGGGCCGGGGACCCCATGAGGACCACCTGCTTTGTGCCACCTCGCATGCAGAAGCAGGTGGGCACAGGATTCGGTTGCTTTATTATTTGAAATGGAAAAAAGGGAAAGTTTTCTCTTTCAACATGGCTCCCCTGGGAAAGGAGAGAAAGTCTGGGAGTTCGGTCGTATTCAGTGGGACAGACTGAATCCGTAGGTTCTTTCATCCAGAGATGGTTTCTGGTCTTCTGCAGAGGTGGGATGGGCAGAGACCACGGGTCCCCATGTCCAGTGGCACTCGGGACGGACGAGTTCTGCCAGCCACTGTCTCCTCACGTAGGTGCCGTGGCGCAGGGCAGCACCTCCTGCCGGGGCCACCTCAGGCAGCTACGCACTGCGTTCTGTGTTGCCCCCTGGGTGAAGGTGTTTGTCCAGGTGACGGGCACACTTTGTGGGGAGCGCGGGCAGCATGCAGGCTTCCATCCAAGGAGCAAAGGGGGGAGGGCCTGCAGGCCCTGGGCAGATGGGGCAGCAGGCTGGGAGCTGTGCTTGGATGGCAGCTGAGCTGGGCCTGCGGCGCCCTTCCGCAGGCCTGCTCGCTGCAGGGGCTTCTCCTCAAATGACCGTGTGCCTGGTGCCACCCCTCAGCAGCCACTCCTTGCACCGTGTGTGTGTGCAGAGCTGTCTGCAGGACAGTCGTTCTCTGACATTAGGCTCTGCAGCTAGGGGAAATGGGACAGAAGACATGGAGCTGGGAGAATGGTCCAAAGAGCGTGGCCCTTGGCCAGGTGGACACCACCAGCCAGGGAACAGGAGTGAGGAGGCACCTAGCTCCCCTGAGGCCAAGGAGGGACAGAAGGCCCAGGACCGGCCCTGCCCTGTGGCCCTTCCCAAAGGCTGGGAAGGAGATGCTCTTTCAGTGGCTGATGGAGCCTGCAAGGAGAGCCCCTGGGCCACAACCCAGGTCGAGCTGGGGACAGTCAGCAGTCAGCCTGCTGCAGAGACGAGCTGCAGGAACCGCCAAGCCTAGGCCGTGTGCCTCAGCAGAGGAAGACAAACAGGGGTTTGTGTCCCCTCAGCTCCTGTCCATGGCCCCCAGTGAGAGCCCTCGCACACTCGATGCCTTCACCAAGGATGCGTTGGGACTGGCAATTCCAGGGAGGCCACAGTTCTGCAGACGTTGTGCAGAGCAAGGTCCAGATGAAATGTCCACTACTCGCCATGCCACGATTGGCTGACTGCAGCAGCACGGCCCGGAGGCCTGCATCTCACCTCAGGCTGCTCTGGGGCATCATTCTGTTAGAACATGGTGTCTGTGCCCCATCACCAAGGCCACAGGCCTGGAGACAGCCCCCTGCCTCGCCTCTCTAGTTGGCATTGACTTTACCTAGACTGGGAGAAAACCTCCACGCCCTGGCTTTGGGGCGGTCACTTGCTGGAGGCAGACTAGACTTCCCGGGAAGGTCCAGGGGCACACGCGGCAAGCCCCTCCCTCGGGAATGAGCTGGCTTACAGGGCTACCAGAAAGGCCATTGGGACTTGGAGGCTGCCTGAGCGCTGGGCACCTGGAATGGAGAAGCAGAGTCCTCCGCGTGGCCGCGCCGCCTGCCCTTCCTCTCCGAGCTGACCCTGCAGGCCTCATGCTCCCCACTGGTCGCTCAACCTCAGGCTCACAGAGATGTGTTTGCCCTTCTGGTCATGGTCCCACTGGAAGGGGTCCAGGGTCCGGAGGCCCAGGCCAGGGCGCATGCGGGGATGGTGTGGGCATGGCCTGGGGCGGGCAGGGCCCCCTGGGCAGGGCTGGGAGGCCAGGGGAGAGCGAGCCCTCGGGCAGGCGCTGTCCCCTGAAGGGAGCGTAACTGTCTGTGCTTGTCCTCAGCCCTGACGAGGAGTCCTCTCAGAAGTTCATTCCCTTCGTGGGGGTGAGTACCTCTTTGGGGGGTGGCCTTCCTGAAAGTCTTCTCGCCTTCGCCTGGCTTCACCTGCTCGGGAGACTGTTAACCCACCCAGACGTCTGTTAGAATCAGTCTGTGTTTGCATTAACTGGATATATTCCAGAACCTTCCTCACCAGTTTGAGCTGAGGACTTGCCTCTAAATCTCTCCCATCTTAAAGCTCATTGTTTTTTCTTGTGTTGAGTGGAGGCGTGGCCCAGGGGATGTCGGTGTCCCCAGCCCTGCTTGGGGGCTGACACGTGGAAGCAGACTGCCCCCCTGGGTGTGAGTCCCATTCTTAGCACCGTGCTGGGCATCGGTCATGTCAGACTCAGCTCTGCAGGCAGGCAGCCAGGGCGCGGGCCTCAGGACAGGTCCCACCCGGGGTAGACAGAGGTGCCTCTGTCGCTTAGGAGCCACAGGACAGGAAGGGGTGCTTGCTGTGCCAGCCAGCTCTGCTGGGATTTGGCCTGTACATTGGAAGTCTCCATCTTCCCCCACTGGCAGGATTAAGGGCTGCCCTGTACTAGCCGGGCTGCTGTCCCTCTTCCTCCCGCCCTTTCACAGCCTGTTATCTCAGTGCGTGGCCTCCAGCCAGGCATCTGCTGCGAGAGCCATGGGCAGCCTGGCTGATGGGGCCACTGGGCAGAGCAGGGCCTCAGTTTACCCCACACAGGGGTCCGGAGTGGCTGCTGGCTTTCCTGGGAGGGAATTAGTCCAGAGCAGCCTGTCCCGTGGAACCTTCTGTAGTGATGGGAGGGCCTGTGCTGCTGGATGTGCAGCCACAAGGCCCCTGTGGACACTTGACATGCCACCGTTTGACCGAGGCATGAGTAGCCGTTGTAATTCACTTTAACTTTTCATAGCTCCCCCACCGGTCAGTCAGGTCTAGGACCCCTGTCAGCCCACATGGGGTCTGGAGCAGCACCTGCCTGAGCCACATGCCTGGTGCAGGCCCCTGGTGGCCTCTGGCCCTCGCTGGGCAGGGCTCTCTCCACCAGTGCCCTGATCTCGCCCATGTCCAGGCTTGGCCAGTCACATAGGCTCATAGTTTGCTGAAGGCCAGAGTGTGGGACCCGAGAGGCTCAGCCACTGGGGCAGGGCGTCCTTCCTGCTGGAGGTCATGTGCGTCCTGAGTACTAGCTGCAGCTCGGGGCCAGGCCAGGGGCTGGCTGGCAGCCGTGGACCCTGTGGGGCTTGTGCCTCCCTCCCGGGAGTGCAGGAAGCCACAAAGCTGCAACTCAACTGAGTCTCCCAAACACGCCCCCTGAAGGGGCAGGGCCCCTCACTGTGGGCTCTGCCATGGCTGACCCCCTGGGCGTTGGCCACCCTGAGCTTGTCTCTGCCCCACGACAGGAAGGGCTGGGACCCAGCTCTGTCCGGGGAGCTCCTATGGGAGGGGGTGTGGCAGCCGGGCAGCAGCAGGAAGACAGGGCCTTGCCCAGATCTGGAGCCCCAGCGCACAGGGTGGTGGGGCTGCTGACACCCCAGCTGCTGCCAGCCAGCCTCCTGTTGCCTTCTAGGTGGTGAAGGTCGGAATAGTGGAACCATCCTCGGCCACATCAGGTAATCCCATCCGCTCTGGGCTGGGATGCAGGGAGGGCAGGGGCAGCCCCCAGCATGCTAGCCTTTGTGGGGCCTGAGAGCAGAGCCATATCCTTTGGGGGAGGGATGCCCTGTGCCCCAGAGTCCCTGCCTCACTGCAGTGTTTCTGCTCACGGGGTTGGGGCGCATCTGCTCCTGCACAGCCCGCAGGCTGCCCACCCTCCCCTGCGTCCTGGTCCGGAGGGCCTGGGCAGCTCTCGGGCAGAGCAGCCGGGGAGCTCAGTGCTGCCCCTGCCTCCTTCCCAAAGGCGACTCGGATGACGCTGCCCCCTCGGGCTCCAGCGTCCTCTCGTCCACCCCGCCGTCCACGTCTCCTGCGGCCAAGGAGGCCTCGCCCACCCCGCCCTCCTCCCCGTCAGTGAGCGGGGGCCTGTCCTCCCCCAGGTAAGCACGGCCATGTGGGGTGGCCTCCTGCTTTACTGTCCAGGCGCCCCACCCCAACTCCCTAGACGTGCTCTCCCCCTGGCTGGTGTCCTTCCCTACAGTGCAGCGGGAGGTCAAGTTAGAGAACAATGGATGTTACTCATGGTCACTGGCCACATCTCTAGGGTGCCGGGAAGCTGAGGGACTGGCCAGAGAGTGTACTCACAGTGGCCTTGGGGAGGACGTGGTGTTGACCACAGCACTGAGAAGACGTGGGCCACTCGGACCAGGACGCCTTGTAGGAGGGTGGGGGCAGAAGAGTGGGGGACAGCCAGGTCCTGGCCTGATGTCTCCCCAGTGTCCTAGGGACGGAAACCACAGAGTCAGCAGTGGGTGTACTTTGCACACAGATAGGAGTTTGGAAACTGAGACGTGGGTAGGGGTGTAGAAGACAATGGTAGGTGGTCAGCAGCCCCTCTCGGCCGCTCTTGTGTACAGAAGTCACCCGAAAACACTGCTGTAGGGGGCTGGGGGAGTCAGTGCATCCCTACAGGCCATGTCCCTGGGCTGCCCCAACTGGGCTGCCCCAACTCCCACAGACTGCACCTCTGACAAGGCTGGTTTACCTGGGCCCTCTAGACTCAGAGGGGCAGCTTGGGAGAGCAGGAGGGCAACAAGCCCGGACACTCCTTGTGACCCCAGCATTGCGACCACACCAGGGCCACAGGCACAGACTGGGCTATCCCAGGAGACCAGGGACGGCCCCACAGTGGGCTCCTGGCCCTGGGCTCCCCTCTACTGGCCAGCCGCTGTAGGTAGTCCCCCGAAGTCAGGCAGCACAGGCACCAGCTGGCACCTCCTTGCCTGTGTCAGCCACAGGGATACCACCGTCACCAACCGGGACAGAGGGGTGAGCCTCCCTCTGCTTTCACAGCCAGGGCGTTGGCGCTGAGCTGATGGGGCTGCAGGTGGATTACTGGACGGCAGCCCCGCCCGCAGACAGGAAGAGAGATGCGGAGAAGAAGGACCTGCCCGCTGCCAAAAACACGCTCAAGTGCACCTTCCGGTCTCTCCAGGTCAGCAGGCTGCCCAGCAGTGGCGAGGCCGTGGCCACGCCCACCATGTCCATGACGGTGGTCACCAAGGAGAAGAACAAGAAGGGTGAGGTGGGGGTGGTGGGCTGATTGTCGGGATGATCAAGGGATGGCCATGCAGACCCTGAGGGCCCTGTGAGTCTGGGGGCCACTTCTGACCAGAGCCCCGAGAAGAGGCCACCTGGGCGGGCGGGAGGGCAGGTGGCCTCGGTCACAGCGGAAAGTGGTGAGCAGGGGTCCAAGGGCTGAGCCTGGTAGCCCGTCTACTCCCTGGGCCCTGAGGAGCATTGGGAGGACAGCACGGCCCCTTTTTCTCCTAGTGATGTTTTTGCCCAAGAAAGCCAAGGACAAGGACGTGGAGTCCAAAAGCCAGTGCATCGAGGGCATCAGCCGCCTGATCTGCACGGCCAAGCACCAGCAGAACATGCTGCGGGGTGAGCATGGGGGGGCAGGTGAGCGGGCAGGGGGGTGGCCCTCCCAGGACTCATGGGAGGTCACTGGTCCAGGTGTCCTTCCCTCAGCAGGGAGCCCTCAGAGAGTAAGGTCCCGTCGGTTCTCCTGAAAATATGCAAGTAAACCAGAGCAAAGTTGGGCCACCTTTTTGAATTCCCCGCAGGATATGCTTTTGTTTTGCTATGAAACACTTATTATGTAATTCTAGCTTGGAATACATCTGGGGAAGGCACTGTGTGCACGTTAACAGCTTTTCAAATTCCAGCCAATAGTTTCTTAATCCTTTCTGCTTTTTTAAAAGATTGATTGATCTCAGACTTTTTATACAAGGTATTCTGCAACCAATTCATTCAGAATACGGAGCTCTCGAGGTTTTTCTCTTCCCGTGAGCTCGAGTCTGACGACCAGAGTGGTCAACAACCTCCCAGGCTCCCTTCCTTGATCTTCTGGTTTAAGCAGAGGGTGTTGTAAACCCGCTTTGCAGACCCATGCTGGGGCGGAGGGGGATGTGGACAAGCAGCTCCCCTACCGTCAGGGAGAGGCTGGCCCCAGCAGGTAGCTCGGAGCCAGGGGAGGGCAGGCAGCAGGAAGGACTGGCCAGCACATCAGTGTTGGGGGTCCCTCAGGGTGTGAGGCCCCTCCAGCCTTGGCCTGTGCCGGGAGGAGGGATGGCGTGCTCACTGGCCTGGTGGGCAGGTGGTCAGGTGCTCTTGTCCCCACAGTCCTCATCGACGGCGTGGAGTGGAACGATGTCAAGTTCTTCCAGCTGGCGGCTCAGTGGTCCTCTCATGTCAAGCACTTCCCCATCTGCATCTTCGGACACTCCAAGTCCACCTTCTAGCCCCGCCCACCGTGGGCCGCCAGCTCCCCGCCCTGGAGTTGGGAGGGCCCAGCTGCTTTTCTGTTAACATTTCAGTTTACTACAGAGACAGACCCTTAAAAACACAAAGAGAAACAGTCTTAAGTATGGATGTGCTCACAACCTGGAAACTAATGGGGTAGCTCCCCACTGGGAGCCCATAACTGCTCTGCTTATTAACCAGAATGTTCTGACAGGGGTGGGAGGTCAGGCGGACGGTGTTGAGCTTGAGAATCATGAAAGGTGTGTTTTGGCCTCAGGACGGCCTGAGTGCCCCTCAAGAAGCGTTCTTTGCTGTCTCGTCCTGTCCTTGAAAGCCTGGACTCTGCTTCCTTGGGGAGCCTGGGTCAGGCAGGCGGCCGCACAGACCCCCAGGCTGCCCAGGCACAGAGTTGAGTGACCAGAGGCTGAAGGCTGTCTTCCTGTTGGGGGCATCCTGAGCAGAACACAGAGGCAGGTCAGCCCAGCCCTGGGCTGCAGCTGCCAACCCGCGGAAACACCCCAGCACCGCCCACTCGTGGTTCCTAATAAGCCCCGGCCTCTGGGGCAGCAGAGGTTTTATAGTAGTGGATATTTTTAATGCTTTTAAATACATGTTACAACGTAGCTGCCGAATAGACTGCTCTTCTGAAGTCCCAGCAGCCCTCAGGGCTGCGGGAGAGCCAGCCAGCGCTGCCCACATCCCAGCCCCAAACCTGCCTGCCCCCACGGCGTGCTCCTTGGGCTGTTCTTGAGACACTGCTATGCTTCTGCAAGTTGTCCCTGCCTCAAACTGGGCAAGCACAGCGGCCTCTGCAGCAGGCCCCGGCCCAGTCAGCCTCCTCCTGCTGCCCCCTTCGGCCCCACCTGCTGGCTGGGAGGACATCTGGGCCAGGCGACCAGATGTGTGTGTGTCACCTTTAGCACTAAAGTGGCCAGTGAATTCTCAGGTGAGGTGGCCTGGCCTCTAGCCAAGCTCCTCAAAGCGAGGTTCTGGGTTTGGGTCCCATCCTGGGTGGCAGCCTGGCCCTCTGCCTTCCCATGCAGCCTGCTCGCCAGTCCTGCTGTTCCCCGCCACACCCCTGCACCCTGGGTCTTCACAGGGAGAGCCCACCAGCTTCCGCTGCTTGGCAGCTGTGGACCCTGGCAGCCCTCGCAGGGGGCAGCTTCCTAAGGCTGAGAGCCACACAGGCTGTGCTCAGCAAACAGTGCCAAAGGCAGGACGGGCTGCAGGCCGTCCCCACTCTTCCCTACGACAGCCCTCACCAAAGGCCTGCGGCACAGAGGGCTCCCACCCTCCGGGGTGTGCAAGCTGGCCCGTTGTTCTCGCCTGTTTTCTTCTACCTGTTTACCTCCTCGCCCAGGCGGCTGTCCAGGGTCTGAGTGTTCATGGCTGAGGGTCCTGGGGCTACCTGGTGGACAGGACTTGGGTGTCCACGCCTCGGAATGCTGCGCAGGGGCCACCTCCCCACAAGAGCCCCTCCCTGCTGAGATACACCTCCTCTGATGGCTCCCGGGGCCAGGGACCAAGGCAAAGCCCTGGCTTGGGGCCCTGCCCCTCCCCAGGAAGGACCTGTGGTGAGGGTGCAGGCCCGAACTGACACCCCTCAGGCAGCCAGTGCAGCATCCACCTGCGGCTCCACCCAGAAGCCAGCCTTGGGACCAGACCATCCCCACCTTCCTCCCACTGGGCCTCAGGGCCGTGGTCACTGCTCCTCAAGTTTCCTTTCCAAGGGTCATACTCAACAGGAAAGAGGTGCAGGCAAAGCATCCTTGGCTCAGCTTTCTGGCTGCAAGAGCTGGTTTAGAGGAAGGGCCAAGGGGGCTGTCCTGTGTACCCCGGCTGTGGGTGGCTCCTTTCCTGGGGCTGTCCCCCCCCACCCCATGACCACTTCTATGGCTGTGTCCTTGTATGCGCTTCCCCCCTCTGGCCCTGAGTCCCTTGCCAAGTGCCACAGGGCCCACTCACCACACCGTCCCTAAGCCTAGCAACAACCCACTTGCAGACCTGGGCTGTGCATAGCTCTGTGCCTCAGTCTCCCCCTTGGCTAACTGCGGATGGTCACACCTCCCTTGCCTACCTCGTGGAGCTGTTCTGAGGGTGCACACATAAAAGCACTTTGTCTCTCAAAGGCGGATGACCCAGAAGCTGAAGCCGTCCACAGCTGAGCCGTGCACCATGAGCTGAGTGGGGGACACTGTGGGGCATGTGGGGGGGCGTGGGCCCCATATGACAGGAGCTGCCCCCTGGGAGCAGGGGTACTTGGCCTATTGGGTGACCAGAAGTACTAGGACTCAAAGATTAAGCCCCCCTCCGTCACCATCAGGCCAGGCCAGGCTCAAGGGCCTGGCTGCCACTGTCCAGCATGCTGTGGGCAGGCTCCACCCTTGGCCTGTAGCCTGGCCCACTGCTTTCTCCCTCCAACCATCTTGGGTCCCCTGGGTCACCATCTCCTCAGGGCGTGCAGGCTAGTGTCCTGAGTCAGTGTCATGACTGACCGCAGCTCAGGAGGAGGGCCCCTGGGCGCAGAGCCAAGGGTGTCTGTGCAGAGGCTGAAGGAATCAGAGTGGCCAAGGGCAGCTTTGCTGTACTGTCCTCACTCCCAGACAGAAAGACCTGACTGCTCTCTCTGGTCTGGGCTTTGGGAACAAATTCTTCATGACAAGACAGAGGAGAACAGCTTGCTGCCGAGGGCCGGCCACCTGACCTACACGTAGTCCCTGACTCCCCTCCCCAAGCCGGTCCTGTCCGCGAGGTGGGGAGGATGTGCCCCCGGCAGGGGCCTGCAGGAGCCTGGGGGCTGGGCTTGGTGGCACCCCCGGGGTCTGCCCCTGCAGGCCACAGGGTGCCACGGCGTTCCTGCAGACCGCCATCCAGTTCACTGCGCCTTGTTTGGTTTCTAGGATGTACGTGTTGCTAGTTTTTTTCTTCTTTTTTTTTTTAATGGAAAACAGGATTAATGTAAATAACCTTTTTGGGGAACAGATTCTAATCTGTCACATATGTGACCACGTGGACTATTTTAAGGTGCTGATGCGACACTAATAAACCTGGGGAGCACTCCCCCAGGCCTCCCTCGCTTGCTGTGTGGTTCCTCGCGGCGGCCGCGGCTCCCTCCCTGACCCGCCGTCCGCCGTCCGCCGTCCGCCGGCTCTGCCCCGTGCCCGCGCTGCAGGCACCCGAGCCCTCGGGAAGCCGGGTGGGCGGGGCTCGGGCGGCCGTGGGGGCGAGGCGCCGAGGAGCCCAAGCGCCGGTCTGCGCCGCGGAGGCCCGCCGGAGGTAGGTTGTGGGGCGTGGCCCGGCGGGGCGAGGCCTTGAGTGGGGCCCGCACGGCCAGGCCGGCAGACTCCTCGGGTGCTCTCTGCCGGCCGGAAGCCAAAGCGCAGGCGCGGGGCGGCCGGAAGCGGAAGCGGCGAGGCGGGGCGTGCTGGAGCGGAAGTTCCCAGGGCTCGGCTCCGCCCCCTCGGGCCTTCCAGAACCGGTGTGGGCGCCACCCTGACTCTGGTCTTTCCACGGCAGAGGCTGGCCCCTGTCCGGCCTCCGGACCCCAGTGTACCCCGCACCTACCCCACAGTACCCCAGTATATCCCGACCCTCCCCCAGAGTAGCCCAGGGTCCCCACCCCACCCCCACAGTACCCCAGTGTACCCCTTCCCTCCCCCGCACTACCCCTGTGCCCCGCCTCTCCCGCAAAGTAGCCCTGTATACCCCTTCCCTCACTCACAGTACCCCAGTGTACTCCTCCCTCCCCCACAGTACCCCAGTGTACCCCGCCCCTCCCCCACAGTACCCCACTGTACCCGCCCCTCCCCCACAGTACTCCATTGTACCCCGCTCCTCCCCCACAGTACTGCAGTGTGCCCCGCCCTTTCCCCCACCGCACCCATAGTATACCCACCGCTCCCCCACTGACCCCCACATCCCCAGCGGTCCCCTGCCCTCGACCCTCCGCCCTGTGTCCTCTTGTGGAGTGAGTGGAGCGAGCCGGTCCACCACGGCCCGGGGCGGGGTCCGGCGGCAGAAGGTGAGGTCCGGGTGGGAGGAGGGCGGCGGGCAGGAGAGCGGGCCCTCCTCCTCCGCCTGTGCCCGCGGCTCGCAGCTGAGGGCGCAGGCCCAGCCCGGCGAGGGCGGCCCTGGGAGCCTGCACAGGCCCGGGCAGCGTGGGCTGCAGCTGCTCCAGCCTGGGTTGACCACGTGAGGAAAATGGCAGCAGGAGCTGGGGACCCAGTTGGCTCAGCGGGGTCGACCGTTGGGTGAGTGGCCTGAGGCCCACCCAGCACTGTGTGGCCAGTGGCTAGAAGGTGAGGCAGCAGAGCCTGATCATCTCCATCTCTCCGAGGCGTGCAGGCGGCCTCAGGCAGTCCCGGAGCCCCCAGGCGCAGAGAAGCCCCACAGTGAGATGGACAGCAGGAAGCATTTGCTTGAGGCTGCCCTGGGGAAGAGGCCGGAGCCGCAGCTGTCCCCAGGTTGCAGGCAGCCCTCTCCCCTGCCCAGCCCGGCGGCGGCCTGGGGCCAGCCCAGCGCCCGGAGCAGCGGTCAGCAGGGGCTGCAGACCCAGGACTGGGTAAGCTGAGAGACTGTCAGGAGTCCCAGGATCTGGCTGTGGAGGGGGCTGGCGGGGTGGGCGCAGAGAGGGCCCTTTGGCCTCAGGGAGGCTGTAGGGCGCCTGATGGGAAGCAGGTGCTGGGTGGGGGCACACAGGTGTCAGTTCTCTTCCCTCCTGCGTCCCATGACTGGCCGTCTGCCTCGGCTGGGCGCCTCGGAGGGGCCACCTCAGTCCTCACCAGCTCCCATTGCACACGGGCCCAGAGGGCGGCACCAAGTGGAGGGAGCCCAGTTGGGGGAGCTCTGCCCCACAGCAGGGACAGCGTCCTACTGACAGGTAGGCAGGCAGTCACAGAACTTGTCACCAGAAGTAACTAAAATGTTCTTAGAGGCTCTGCCTGTGACAACCCCAAACTGGAGACACCTCTCTGTTCCCGCTCCAACTGATGGGGGAACAGCTGCTCAGTTTCCAGGTAGCCGCGAGAGTGGACGGGGCAGAGTGGCTCCAGCCCAGGGGACGCTCAGGAGCAAAGGAGGCCAGGCCCTTGGGAGTTCTATAGGGTTCCCTGTGGGAGGGTCAAAGCCAGGCTGAGTGGATCAAGGCTGTGACAAGCTAGCCACACACAGTGCTGGCCATGTGGCCAGTTCACGTGTGGGAGTGCATCAAGCCTTGCGCTTAGATGTATCTGCATGTGTGTTTGCTGTGGTCAAAGGTTTATGTATAAAGGTGATGGGAAAAAAAGGCGGGCTCCCCAAGCTGCCTGTGGCGGCCACCACGTGCTCTCCCAGCCACAGCCCATGGCTGGAATGCCCGTCAGGGTGCTGGGGGAGACCAACCAGCAGACCCTTCGGCTTCTGTGAGGCTGACGTGTCAGGACATGTCAACAGTCCAGGGCATAAATGCACAAGTCTGTCACTTGTCAGGGGTGAAGGCTCCTCAGGAGGAGGGATGGGACCCGGGGCTCATGTCCAGGACAGGTGGTAGGGACGTGAGAGCAGCAAAAGCAGACCCACATTCTTCTGCAGGGATGGAGGAGCCTGCCAGCTCAGCCAGGGGCCGCCTGCCATGTTTGCAGTTCCGAGAGGTGGGCTGGCGGCTGTGGTTCATTAGAGGGTGAGGGACGAGGCAGGAGAGCAGGAAAGAAGGACACTGGGGGAGGTGGCACAGGGGACGCGGGTTTGGGTGGAGGCTGGGAAGGAGGTGCAGACCCATCTCGGCAGGCAGACTCTCAGGCTTCTGGTTTGGGGGCAGGGATTCCTGCCAGGTCCCCCACAACCTGGGAGCCCTCCCGTGTCATCCTGCTGTGACCTTGAGGGGTGCACTGGGCTACCCTCTCTCCAAATGTCCTGTGCAGTGTTCCTCCTTTCTCCCCCCTGGCATGGCCTTGGTCTGGAATGCCCTTCATCCAGATTTTCCTGCTTCTGGCTCCTTGTCAGGCATCGTCTTCCAGGGAGAGTATCTGTTGTGTCAGCCCCACCATTCCCTTCGTCTCTGTCCCTTCCTAGCCGAAGCCCCCAAGAGCCTCCCTTGTCTGCATTGTTCACTTTGGGCCCCCAGTGCCCCGCACGGTGAGGGCACAGATTCACAGAAGCGCAACGACCTCTGGCTGAGGCCAAGGTTCAAGGAGACTTCTCCCGACGGAGGGTCTGCAGACATCCAGCCTTGCACAGAAGGTTGGGCAAGCGTGTGCACCTCTGCTTCCTAACAGTCCTGCCAAAATGACCACATCCTGAAGAAGGCAGGGGTCCACAGGACAGAGATGAGGCGGGAGGACTGGCCAAGAGGAGGTGGCGACCACATTCCAGGGGATGGCCACGGGTTGGACGGAGTGGGGGGATCAGCTCTTGGCTGCGTGGTGGGAGGTGGCAGAGGCAGGGTGGTGTCCCAGTGCCAGCCCCGGTCTGCCCACGTCACTGACCTACTCTAGTTCTCCCTTTCAGTATAGAATGACAGGGGAGGGCAGCAGACGTTGGAATAAAACCTCTGTCGTGAAGGAGAACAAAACTCCCAGAAAGAAAAGAACTGGCCGAATCACAGCAGTGTTGGGGCAAGCAGAGCTGGAGCGTCAGCATCCCCGCGGGCCCTGCGCTGTCTCAGGAGGATTGGCCCATGCAGCCCAACGAGAGGGACGCGGACTGTGAGCACTGGGGGGGAGGTGCTGCTGGCACCAGGGAGCCGCGTGGCTGTGCCTGGTCAGTGCAGGGGATGGTCAGTGCAGTCCACCCATAGCCGAGGGTTCGGGAAGGGCGTTCACACCATCACACGAAAGTCAGTAGCCTGTAGACATCAACATCAGACTCTAGAAAATAAGCTTGTGAAAAGGCACATCTGACAACAAGAAATACGTAAACCGGCTTGAGAGGAACTTTAAAACCCCCCAAAGCATCACCGAGAGATTTAACAACGGAAGAGACACTGTGTTCTTGGAGAGGAAGACGTGCTGGCACAGAGGGTTCTCCCCAGGCAGCTCACAGTCAGTGTCGTCAGTGATGAAAACGCCAAAAGTTCATCTTCTCTTTTCCAGTACAGCAAACTGGTCAAATGGAAAAATAAGCAAGAATAAGTTCAGCCTAACAGATATGAATTCCTTTCACAAAGTTTTAATTATCAAAGCAATAGGGTCCTGGTGAGTGATGCATGAACAGCAGAACAAAACAGAAAATCTGGAAATCGACCCAAATGTCTGCAGACACTTGGTGTAGGATGAAGGTGGCATCTCATATAAGTAGAGGGAGGGTGGCCTTTCAATAAATTATGCTGGGCAACTGAGTAGCTATCCAGAAGAAAGAACACTGCACCCATGCCTCTCATCGAATACCGGGAGAAACTCCAAATGCATCCAAGGTTTCAACGTAGAAAAGTAGAACCACGAAAGGACTAGAAGGAATCCTGGGCAGATTCCCTTACGACCACGGACTAGGGGAGACCTTTATAATCCAAGCCTCAAGTCTAGCAGCCATAAGAGAAAAGGTGGATGCATTTACCACATGTGAAAAACAAACAGAAACTTCTATGGAGGCAAAATAGACACGCCAAGCCAAGTTGAGGTAACTGATGTGGGCGTGAGATCTTCACGGGAAAGGCCAGTCCTGTTGACAGGTGGGACTGAGGACACTGGGGACCCGTCCACGTGTGAAAGCGTAAAGTTGAACTCTTACCTAACACCACATACAAAAATTAAAATGAATCAAAGACATAAGCTGTGAGCCAAAACTACAGAACTCCTAGAAGAAAACATGGGGGAAGAGCTTTGTGACGTTGAACACAGCAGTGATTTTTGGATATGATGCCAATGGCGTAGGCAACAAAAGCAAAAGTAGACAAACGTATGACATCAACCTTAAAAACTGTGCAGCAAAGGGCACAATCACCAGAGTGAAAGGCAACCAACGAAACGGGAGGAAATGTTTGCAAATTACAGATCTGATAAGGGTGAATATCCAGAGCATATAGAGAACTCCTAAAACTCAACAACAACAAAACCCAATTAAAAAATGGGCGGGGCCAGCCCGGTGGCACAGTGGTTAAGTGTGCACGCTCCGCTTCGGCAACCCAGGGTTTGCCGCTTCTGATCCCGGGTGCGGAAATGGCATCGCTTGTCAAGCCATGCTGTGGTAGGCGTCCCACACATAAGGTGGAGGAGGCTGGGCACGGATGTTAGCTCAGGGCTAGCCTTCCTCAGCAAAAAGAGGAGGATTGGCCCCAGATGCTAGCTCAGGGCTAATCTTCCTCAAAAAAAAAAAGGCAAAAGGCTTGAAGAGACATTTTTCCAGAGAAGATATACAGATGGTCAGCACATCTATGAAAAGATGCTCAACATCATTAGTTATAGTGAAATGCAAATCAAGAACAAAGTGAGGTACTACGTCATGCCCATTGGGATGGCTGTAATAATAATAAAAAAAGAGGGGCCAGCCCAGTGGCGCAGTGGTTAGGGTTACACATTCTAGTTTGGCAGCCTGGGGTTCACCCGTTTGGATCCCGGGTGCAGACATGCCACCGCTTGACAAGCCATGCTGTGGTAGGCGTCCTGAATATAAAGTAGAGGAAGATGGGCATGGATGTTAGCTCAGAGCCAGTCTTCCTCAGCAAAAAGAGGAGGATTGGCTACAGGTGTTAACTCAGGGCCAATCTTCCTGAAAAAACAACTGAGCCAGCCTGGTGGCCTGGCGGTTAAGTTCATGTGTTCTGCTTCGGTGGCCCAGGGTTCATGGGCCCGGATCCTGGGTGCAGACTTACACACTGCTCATCAAGCCATGCTGTGGCAGGTGTCCCACATATAAAGTAGAGGAAGATGGGCACAGATGTTGGTTGGCTTAGGGCCAATCTTCCTCAGCAAAGAGAGGAGGATTGGTGGCAGATGATAGCTCAGAACTAATCTTCCTCAAAAAAGAAAAGAAAAAAAGAACAAATGTTGGCAAGGATGTGGAGAAATGGGAACCCTTGTGCACTGCTGGTGGGAATGTAAAACAGTATAGTTGCTATGGGGAACAGTATGGTTGTTCCTCAAAAAATTAATCATAGAATTACCATGTGATCCAGCTTCCACTTCTGGGTATACATCTGGAAGAATTGAAAGTAGGGACACAAACAGACATTTGTACATCCATGTTTACGGCAGTATTATTTGTAATAGCCAAAAGATGGAAGCAAGCCAAGTGTCCATCAACGGATGAATGTGGTATCTACATCTGATGGAATATTATTCAGCCTAAAAACATTCTGACGTATGTTACAACGTGCATGATCCTTGAGCACATTACGCCAAGTGAAATAAGCCAGACACAAAAGGACAAAACTGTATGATTCACTCATATGAAGGACCTAGAGGAGTCAGCTTCATAGAGACAGAGAGCAGAATGGTGGGTGCCAGGGGCTGGGGGAGGGGGTGGGGAGTTGGTGTTTAATGGGGACAGAGTTTCAGATTGAGAAGACAAAAGAGTTCAGGAGACGGACAGTGGTGGTTGTACAACAAGGCGAATGTGCTTAATGCCACTGAACTGCACACTTAAAAATGA